GGTCGTCATTGCAAGACTTTTAACTGCACAGTGATGGTCCAAACTATATGACCTTAAACTATAGTGGAGGTCTAGTTGCACAACCTTAAATTGCATGGTTTTAACTACATGACTTTAAACTGCATAGTCAAGGTCCAACTGTATGATCCAAAACTATAGTCACGTCTAGGCCACACGACGTTAAACTACTTCGCACAAGGTCCAAGAGGCTGCACTTTAAACATGCTTTCACACACACAAGCGCGCACAATACCCTTTTGCGCGTCCCATCTTCATCAACTCCCTAAGGAGTCCATTCCCCTCTACACCATTCACCATTGCTCAGTGAGTTTCACCCATGTTCACGAAACGGTGAACCATTCCACCATCCATATTCCCCGTCAGCTAATGGGTCACTACTATCCACCTCTCATTTCCCCAAAGTGAGTATAATCACCACCGTGCTCGCTCAATAGCCTCCAAAGGCTTTCATCCATCACCACCATGGTCCAGTTATATGACCCTAAACTATAGAACACGTCTAGGCTCTGTGACGTTAAACTATTTCTAGAAGGTTCCGGAGGACGAACATGACGAAAAAAAGGACGGACATGACGAAAACCCACAAGGGTGTCATGGGTAAAAATGTCAAAAAAAAGTTAAAAGAAAGGATGGGTACGCTCACGAAACCGTGAGTAAAAATGTTAAAAAATAAAACCTGGGCACTGTGAAAACCCGAAAGGGCTTCGTGAATAAAATGGATGAAAAGGGTGGACATGACCGCAAGGTCATGGGTAAAAGAGCCCAAAAATAAAGGAGGTTGGTGAAAACTGTCTTTACGGCTCCACTTCCCCAGTCCAGGTGAAAACCCGCAAAGGATGCTTGGACCGATAAAGCAGGTTGACACAACGTCACACCCTCAGCTGGTACCCAATTACCAAACAGGCGTAATTCGGGCTAACCAGGCCCACACAAAAATCCTCAACGGTCAGGTTCCAAATCAAGAGCCTCACAAGATCTCCCAAACTCCAAAAAACAAAAAGAGTCCTTGAGGGTGAGGACGATGATCGAAAGATCCCTCCAAAAAACAAAATAAAAGTCCTTGAGGGTGAGGACGATGACCGAAAGATCCCTTAAAAAACAAAAAGAGTCCTTGAGGGTGAGAATGATGATCGAAAGATCTCTCCAAAAACAAAAAGTGTCCTTAAGGGTGAGGACGATGACCAAAAGTTCCCTCCAAAAACAAAAAGAGTCCTTGAGGGTGAGAACGATGACCGAAAGATCCTTCAAAATAAAAAAGAGTCCATAAGGTGAAGACGATGATCACAAGATCCTTCAAAGTCTCTTCTCCCCTAAGGTCTCCATGGGTGGATCTGAGGCAGATGTGTCCAAACGTCTGAGCATAGTGGTTATAACATTGTGTGGATATCTCCTCAGCATTCACGTGGTCCTGTGACTAGGAAGAAAAAAGAAATAAAGCCGAAGAAATGTTTTTTAATGTGGTCATTCTCGCTTCTCTCGAAACACAACATTCGACGGGGCATGTTGTTTGAAGACATTTTTCAGCACCATGGGTCCCCGATGCAGAGTAAAAGAGAGAAGTGGATCAATAAAACCTGACAAATAGTGGAAATTTTGACAGCTCAAAATTGCCCCAAAATAGGTTAAGATCTTTATAAGGACTCCTAAAAGTCTCCTGCCAAGTATCATCATATTCCGACATGTCTAAGGCAGTACAGATTGATAAACAGTTTCGGCATAATCAGCCATAAGCACCCTGAAATGGACTCCTATAATTGGAACCCTACTTTCAGAGCATCAAATGGTCATGGGACCCGCGTCATTAGATCCGAAATGGTTGAAAATCCTCATGGATCAAATTTCAGCTTAAACGAACACTCCAGAAAAACGTTATGGGCAAAAGATCGAAACAGGAGGAGCTGCACATTATTCCCATGTGACCACCCTGCAACTTAACTTCATTAAAGCACAGTCACGAACAAAGAACTTGCGACATCCATATCTCTCTCATCTAAGATTGGATCGTGCTCAAATTTGTTGGTGCATGTTCGTCTAGTCGAAACGAGCATTTTGATATGTGGTACCCCGTGATGATGACCAAGCCGGGAGAAAAGCTAGAGAGAAGTTTGTGATTAGAAGCCGTACGTTGCAGAAAATCAGCAAGACATCCATTAACTCGAGCGGCCAAACCACAGCACCTACGAGCCCGATCGACATGAGACCAATTGCATCACGTGCATAAGGTCAGTAGCATCACTGGTCCGAACCCCGTGCATGATGAACACTTGGATTTCACACAAGACCAATTTGAAGTCACTGCAGATTACGGTAGCCTGAATCCCAAATTCCAACAAAAGTCCAAGATTGTCAAAACTTCATTTGGGCACAAAATCGCGTTCTGTTTGTTGCAACGCGGTCATGGTGATATGCTTGGTACAATTCAATGAAGAAATCATATAAAAACATCGACAAGAAAACGTACTATCGATCGAAAGTTTTCAAGATCTATGTGAATTTCAAGTTATGTAATCATGCCTTTAAAGTGTGATTCATAACTTACAATTGACATCAAAATGATCGTTATATCGAACCTTATGCGAAGGTGATCATCTTTTGTTCATTCGGAGTTCAGATCGTCAATGGATCGTCTAAAAAGAATCAAGAACGTTCCAAGTTCTCAACATAGACTGTTTTGAAATTTCTCTAATTGTTAAGAAGGGACAAATCTATCAATTTGCACCTATTTTTCTTATTTTATTTAATTCAAAAAATTATAATTATCTTCGATTAGGTCAAAAATTATTTATCCACCTATGTTTGGATCCCCATATTATATATTGTCCACCTATGTTTGGATCCCCATGCTATATATATATATATATATATTGTCCACCCATATTTGGATCCCTATGCTGTAAATAACCCTCTTTTTAATAATAAAAAAATCATTTTCAAGAGCAAGAGTTGGTCATGTTTCTTCTTTGGAAAGAGAAAGAAAGGAGAGAGAACTTTTTGATCGGTACCCTTAAGCTTAAAAGGTAATTTTTTATTTTAATTTTTTCTCGTTTCTTTTTTCTCTCTCCTCTCTTTCTCTCTCTCCTCTCTCTGTCTAGATGGCGGTCTCACGACCAAGCATAAAATTTTCTTTTCTTCTATCTCTTTTTCTCTTGTGGTTTCGCTTGACCATGATCTCTTTTCTTCTATCCTCCTTGTGGTTCCTCATGACCACAATCTTCCCCTTTCCTTCCTCGTGGTCCAGCATGACCACCAATTTTCCTTTTTCTTTACCCTTTATTCTCAATATACGATCCTTATGCACCCCTCGGGTCCACCTTTTTCTCTTCTTTTTTTTGTGGTCCTTCTTACCTCGTATTCCCTCACCTTCCTCTTTCTGGTGCACCCTCGGGTCCACCTTTTTTCTCCCTGGTGGTCCTGCTTATTTAGTCTTCCCTCGCCTTCCCCTTTCTGGTGCACCCTCGTGGTCTTTTTTTCCTTCGCACTATACATGTTCCCGTGACACCACTATTACCCACGCTTGTTCTACACAGCGCCGTGCGCGCAACAAACCCCATTGCCGTGCGTTGAACGCCTTGTGCAGACTTTATCTGCCTTGCCTAACGCGGCGACCACCTATCAACCACCTTATCGCTGCCACCGAGGTCCATCACTAGCAGCCACCATCTTCTTTTACTATCCTCTCGTCCCTCTCTCTCTTGGAGGCCAGATGCGAGCACCGTCCCTGCCATTACTGCCACTCATCTCCACACCTCCGCCACTTTCCCATGGCGTCCTCTCTTTGTTACCAACCACTCCCTTCTCCTTTCACAACCAGGTGGTCCACCATCACCCTTCTCTTCACTTACTTCCTCAGGCACCACCACCTCTGTCCCCACCACCCACCCTTCTCTTCGCCTCCCTTTCGACTTTGACCACTACGCAGCAGCCAATCTCCGCCTCTCTTTGATCATCTCCACCTCTCTCGAATCTTCGGCCCTGCCACCCATTCTTTCTACCCTGCTGCCCCCAATCTCTGCTCCACCACTACAATTTCTCTCTCTAACTCCCCACATAAGCCATGACCCACACCAGCCAGCCTCTTCTCTTCCTCTAATTCCCTGCAATTAATTGCAACCAGCTGCAACTCTTAGCCGCACAATCCTTCTTCTCTTGCTGAGCCATCCCTCATCAGCTGATTTCGCCTGCAACCAGGCTACCCTTGCTTCGTCACTAGCACCACCACCCTGCTGCTGCACTTACTCTCGCAGCCCCCTTCTTTCTCTCATCCACTTCCCTCATCTCAGCCCCCTTTTTTCACTCCCTCGGTCAGCTACTATTGGCTGTAAATCAGCAACTATCTCGCTCACCTCACTGCAACTCATCCTTTGCAGCCCTCAACGCACTCAACTGTCATCTCCATCCCACTGCGTTTTTCCCCTTCACCTTCGCTTCCCCATTCTCCCGTGTTGCTCTCTGCGATTCTCCGCTCACTCTCTCTAAAAACCCACAAAGCAAAAGGAAGAAAAATATTTCTTCGTTGCTGCCGTTTCTTTTCGTTTTCGTTCGCGTTTCGTTAAATTTCGCTCGGTTCACTTTCCCTCGTTCAACGCAACCAAAAGCCCTCTTCCTCTAAACTAACCTCCTCTCCTCCTTTTATCTCACGGTTATCCTCTTCCATTCACGTTCTACTCATAAACCATCCCATTCGCTCCCTAAACGAAAGCACTACTTTCTTTTTTCTATGTTACTTTACCTCCTTTCATGCACATAAAGTCCCACAAAAAAGCTTGCTCTCCCTCAATTAATGTTTTTTTTTATCATTATTAAAGCTAATCTTTCTTCTTATTAGTATTTTATTGAACCATCTTATTATTGCTTTACTCCATCTTTTCATCCTATCTCATTATCCACTTTATTTTATTTTATTCTATTTACTTCATTTACCTCTTTCATTTTATTTTACTTTATCTCATTCTTCTCTCTTATTCTCTCATCTTTTTCTCTCTTCTCTTCTCTTCATCTTTCTCCTCTTCTTTCTTTTTCTTCTCTCTTATTTCTCCTTTTTTTCTTCTTTTCTTCTCCTTCTCTCTTTCTCTCTCGTTCGAACAAGAGATCGGCTAAGTCTAGCACTGCCATGGTGGTCTCGTCGTCAAGCAATATTGCAATCGTTCCGATTTGAATTAACTTGCCCGTCTTGCTTCCACGAGAGGCCATCATGCCAAGTTGATCGATGTTGGTTTTGTCATCGAGTAGTATTGCCGCTGTGTCGATCTGAATTACCATGCCCATCTTGCTACCACGCCAGGTAACAATCACTTACTAGTCTAGCCACTATGTTAGTCTAGCCACTTGGTCAAATTCTTCTCTTTTCTTTTTTCTATTATATCTCTTTTTTCTCCTCTTATCACCTCAATCTCTATCCTTTTATTCTTTCCTTCTTCTTCTAGATGTGCATGCCTATGTGCATTCGCCCAAAGACAAGGTGGGGTCCCTTGGCCCACTTGTCTTATAAAATTAACCATGTGTGTGTGATCGCAGAAACAGGAGAGTACTGATCAAGGGAGGTGATTTCGAACCAGTTAAAGGACTGGGAGGCTTTCCGTCATGATTTAAGAGGGCGCCCACACGAGTCAGCCCAAGTGAGTCACGGACCTAAGTGAGATGTGTCCCGCCTCACATCAAATTTATCTCTCATCAATTGGGGTATCTGCCCTTTCTCTTTAGCAAGGTTCCCAAGAAAGTGGTCTCAAGCCCCGGGTTTGCATTGAAACCCGAGACACATGCCACCAGGCCAACTCGACCCAAAGGGCGAGATCGAGGCATCTAACCAATAACCTCCCACCCAAATTTATAGAATTCAATAGAGAAACCATCAGGGCCTAGAGCATTGTCGCACTTCATACCCGAAACACAATCCTTTATCTCTTCTAGAGTGACCTCTTCAACCAATTTCTCCTTCTAATAAAACTAAGCAAACTGCTCAGCCAGATGAAGATCGATATCACTTTCTTAGACTAGGAGATCTTCAAAAAATCCAATCATATAATTATCTATATCTACTTTTGTAACTAGATAATTACCATTTTAATCCTTAAGTGATAATATGATCGCCTTTTCTCCTCATCACAGTAGATAAATGAAAGAACTTAGTATTAAAATCCCCTTCCTTTAACCACTTCTGCCTCAACTTTTGCCTCCTATGCTCTCTTCATGTCCCAAGAGGATCTGTAATTTCTGAGTATGATCATTCTCTTTTATCATCAAAGCATTATTAGAGGGATCATGGAAAAAGCTATCATATAGAGAAGACAATTGTTGTCGAACTATTGTAATAGAATCACCCATATGTCCAAACACATTTGTGTTCCATGCGTGTAGGCCCCCCTTCAATCTTTTTAACTTTGTAACAAGACGAAACATAGGAGTACCCCCAACTCACCCTTGCTAAGAAGCTGAAATTATATCAAGAAAGCAATGAACATTTTCTCAAGTTAATAATTACTTAAAGGGTTTTGGCCCGACCGAACCCAAATCTAACATTGACACTAGCAAAGGGCAATGATCAGAGTTCCCATTAGGAAGAAGCTTAACTTTGGATTCTGTAAAGCCCAATACCCAATCTGTGGTTGCCATGGCACAGTCCAATCTCCTTATACACCTCTTCTTAAGTTGGCTATTAGATCAAGGACATCATCATTTGACAACATTAAGGTCAGTTAGTGCGCAATCAAACGTAACTTGCGCAAAGTCACCTGAGTCCGAGGGTAAGGAACCACTGCCCCCCGTCCTCTCTGAACTAACTAATAAAGTATTGAAATCCCCTAGTACTAACCAAGGTATTGTTGTGGCATCCCTTATACATCTCATATGATCCCAACGTAAAGCCCTCTGAGATACAGAATTGAAAGTATATACCCCAGATACCACAAACAATTTACCATTACATAAACGAGAAGCCTCAACAGTAATCATCTGATCATTAATATAAATCACACTGATTGAATATATTGAAGGATTCCAAAGTAGTATGATTGATTATAGATCTAACATTGACATCATTAGGTATAAAATTATTGTAAAACCCCATTTTTGTGATTAAACACTAGTCAAATCGGCTAGCAATTTAATCTCTAAAATAAACAATATCTCCACATTATTTTGGTTTTTTAGAACACCAACATCTGCTACTTACCACGGCCCCTAAGGCCTCGGACATTCCATGCCACCACCGACATATATAAAATTAGGAATTTAAAGGCTTGCTAGAAGTAGAATTTAAAGGTTTTTTCATTTTGCCCTAAGCTTCTCAATCAATTGCCTAAGTAGGAAAATAGCATCAGTTGTTGACCTTCCTAGTATAAAACCAAATTGATTTTCAGATATATTTGTTTCATGCTCTGGTCGTTGCCCAATTACTCTCTCCCAAAGCTTCACGGTATGGCTCACAAGATAGTTCGCACAATTATGTATGTCTCCTTTGTTCTTGTAAATAGATATCACAATACTTTTCCTCCATTCGTCTGCTATTTTCTTTGTTCTCAACACCTTCTGGAGCAACTTCGTCAGCCAATCAATGCCAATCTCCCCCATGCACTTCCAAACTTCTATCGAGATACCAAATGGTCCCAAAACCTTTTATATCTTCATCATTTTTTAAGCTTCTTTCATTTATGATATCCTAATATTACGAATGTATCAATGACCGCCACCCTCATTTATACTAACAGCTATTTCTATCGCTCTGTTCTCATTGTATTCGTCATTGAATAATTTTTTAAAATAAACTCTTCATCTTTCGTCAATCTCGTCATCCTTCACCAAGACCCTTTGATCTTTACTCTTAATGCATTTAATATGGCTTAGATCTCCACACTATCTCTCTCTTATTTTTGCTAATTTGAAGGCATCGTTTCACCTTCTCTTAATCCCAATTATTATATAGATTATCATATATCTTATATTTAGCTTCACTTATTATTTGTTTAGCGTTTTTCTTAGCATTTTTATATTCTTCTCTGTTTTGATCGTTTCTATTGCATTGTTTTATCCAGTTTTATAGAAACGATCAAAAGAATGTAAAGTTTATAAAACAATGTAATAGAATCAAAACTTCATATTAATGAATGTAATAGAATCACATATCATATGGTATTGTAAAGTTTATTTTGCAAAGGGTTATTGTACTTCCATCTTAATGAACTAGTATTTCAC